CATGTTTCAAATACATACCAAGTCATCTTTCCATATGCATCACCAATTCTATAGTAGTTTTTCTTCTTTTCCCCTTCCCCATCAGGAGTGTTTTCACTTACCCTTCAGCGTGGCTCGAAATCGGTAGACAGGTTGATGGTGAAGGTGTTCAACCACTAGAGTAGTTATACACCAAAAAGTTGGTTCTTTATGTTGACTTAGAGACTTGAGAGGCCTCCATTTGGGACAATGCTTGGTTATGACTCTTGAGGAATATTGCTAAGGTTTTTCCTTTTTGATGAGATCAGATCGAAATTGATAGTGACAATCTTGGTGCTAGTGATGATATGCTAAGTCTGGACTCTTGCTCGATTTTCGTCTAGCAAGTTAGGGTTCTTGTTCGAATTATGTCGTGTAGTTAAAAAAGTTGGCCTTAGAAATCCAATGGTATCAAGTGGAAGGGTTGTCGCTCAACTAATAATTTAGTCTCTTGCTTGAGTTGCGTCGAGCAGGGACAAAAGTGGGCTTTAGTGATATGATGATGTTGAGTGGAACAGATAAATTTTCAATAAATAAGTATATTCATATATAATTCAAATTTAGTAAATCAACTACTTGAAACATGGAACCTAAAGTATTTAAATTTTGAATTTACATCCAGAGGTGACTCTACCTACAAAGTTTGGGAAATACATAATTGGAAGAAGTCCTCAATTGACTAGATCCCCAAATGCTTATCCATTTCTTGGAAATGACTCAAAATGAGGCATACTAAAAGCATATCCTAATAGATAATAATGGTACTATACCAAGAATGTTCCAAAAATTTGCTTCTTCTTGTGAACCTATTTTGGATGTTGTCTCAAATTTCAAACACTTGCATTTTTGTACCATTTAAATATTATAATTTCCTTCATTTTTTATTCATCAAGTCGTCAAAGCGATCACAAATGCTTATTTTCTCTATTACATCTCTTGGGGTACGAATCCTTGCAGACTATGATAACGCGAGATGCTTTGTGTATCGAATTCACTATATTTTTATTTATAAATAAGATGGGTTGTTTATCTAAATATGGACAAAACAGAAGCCGTTGGTTCATTTTTGTACCAATTCAATGAAAACATAAAGTTAAAAATAGTTTGGTCTTGGCATGCTTAGTTGCTGGTCATTTTCTCATCTCTTTTGTTAGTATATATTATTTTATTTTATACATAATATGCCAAAAGACTTCATACAATGAAGAAAAAGTCATATTTATCTAGATTTTGTTTATATTTGTTTGTATTTTTGGAAGATAAGTGCCTAATATTTTAGGCTATCATTTGGTATATTTCACTACCTAAATACAAATTATTTTTCGTTTTTCTAGATTCAAATTATATGAATTTCGGAGTACTTATTACTTTCTTGATTTCATTTTATGTGATGCATTTTTTAGAAGTATGTTCCGCAAAAAAAAAAACCTTTCTACATTTAAAATAAGTTTTTTTTTTTACTCTTTATAAATATTAATAGTCACAAAATATCTACAATTTATTTTTAAACCATAAATTTCTATATTTTTATTTATTTTTTTTTGTAAAATTTTGTATCCGATCAAACACGATGCCATAAAATAGGAACCCTCTTATAAAATTTATCATGATAGGACATTACTCCTTGACAAGATAAGGAACTAATTAATTGAAATAAATTGATAGTACGAAAGGATAAATCTTGATTTCTTGTCAATGAAAAGATTGGTTTAAACAATTATGAATTTGTGACATACATTAAAAAGAAAAAAAGAGAGGAGAAAAACACTTATTAAGACCAAATATGAGTAGTTTCTCAATAAATTTATACGCCGATCAAATTGATTTATAAATATTTTTTAAAATTTATTTATGTGTTTGACGAAATTAAAGGTGTTTTTAAGGTAAAATTTGTCAAAAAGTTATAAGATACGTTGGTCATCTCAAGCAGTGACGGAGCCAGAAAATTCGTCAAGGTGTTCAAACTTTAAAAGAGTGATTTTTTTTTTAGCGAAGTGGGTGCAAAATTTTTTTAAAGTGAATTATTGAGAATTTTTTCATAATTTAAAAATAAGTGAACTTTTTTTAGTTCAAGAGAATTGTTGAAACTTTTTTCGGACAGATATTTCTGTTTCTTTCCTTTAAAAAAAAAAGATTTTGTTGAAATGCAGTAAGCAAGATAAAACCAGGAACCTTAGGCTCTTAACTGAGCACTCTTACCTTTGGTCCCTTTGTTGAATTTAAGAGTATTCATTTATTAATATATCCACATAATAACAAATATTTTATCTTTGATCTAATTTTTTAGCGAAGGGTGTTCGGCTGACCACCCTTTGCGGGTTGTAGCTCTGCCCCTGATCTCAAGCTTGTATTACAATTTTCAGCTTACGAGCATTTTTTATTTTACCGAAATTTTTACTATTTTATTCTTAAAATCTTTTATAATTTTCTAAATATCCTTTGAAAAAACGACATTTCTAACTCGCTCTCTATTTCATTTGAATTGTTTAACTTTCTCCAATTTAATCATTTTTAGCAACAAAAACATATGCTTATAAATACATTTCACCTAATACATCAATCATTATTATCAGTTTCATCACATCTATTCGCGCGTAAATATTTAATTATAAAATTAATTTCATAATGTTATAGTCTACACCACGTAAATGCCATGTAAATTTTAACACAATGAGATTATGCTTATATTATATTTGTTTGGTTTGGAAGATAAGTATCCAATATTTTTTATTCTATCATTAATTTGGTGCATGTTTGCTAAATTTTATATTCTTTTAGTAGGAAAGTTATCTAATAAAAAAATTTAAATGTTATATGTGTTAAAGGTTATAAAAATATTATAAGTACAAAGTACAAAACTTATGGTATGTCAATTTGCTAAGATGATAAGATAAAAAAAAGAATATTCTAATAAGTTGGTAGTACTACTAAAGGATTAGAATTATGTTTCTAACTTTCTTGTCAATAAAAAAATGTTTTAGTAACACCACTTAAAAACATGAATCTGATGAATTTTATTTGTCAAAAAATTCTATCGTATGTTTCTATTCATTTGAATCATTTTTTTTCTTCAAAAAATCACATTATATATATATGATTTCTTTTTATGAATATATATAATCGATGATAAATACTTGAATGAAAATCTCACTTCAACCACTAATGAACGGTGATGAAAACTATCGTAAATTTGTAATTTTCTTTTAGAATTTAGAAAATAGTTGCACATTCAATGAAAAGGAAAAAAAATGATCATTTCAGTAACTCATAATTATTACATTATAATTAAGAAATTCTATCTATAGTGTCCTCTCAATTTTGGATAAATTAATTATTGATCTCCTTGTGTAGTTCTTTATACGACGAGTGTTCGGTTCTTCGATTTGAGTTTATCAGAAAACTCAAATTTTGATTTGATTCTCGATTTGATTTTTTCCCCAATAACAACACCAACATACATAGCAGCAACTTGGATTTGGACTTTGAGTTGGACTGCTGCTGAAAAAATGGAACAAATTAGGGGTATGGGCTTGGATTGTGAAAAGTTTTGAGCCCAAATATGAGTATCTGTTACTTTAATATTTTCTAAAAAAATTGAGCTCAAACAAAGTTTATGACACTTGTTCCAAACAAACAAGGGAAACTTACGTAAATTTCACTAGTTTAGGAGCTAATTATTTAGACACACTCTAGCTCGTGATATTACGTATCTTATCAGATTTTGGTGCCTTCAGATGTGTCCAGATACATGTATCTCGGATACATGAGGTCAAAATTAAGTGTAATTTATTCTAGATACATTGTATCCAAGAAGATTTGCATGTATATGAGATACATAGCAAATCTTGATGGCCTCCCTCACCTCTCTACCATCTTGCTCGCCGCTCTCCCATGTATCTAGTATTTCAAAAACATGTGAATCGCTCTAGATACATACATATACATGTATCTAGTGTGATTCGCATATATCTGGATACATACTAATCTCGCTCGCCTCTCTCCCTATTTTTGTGTATCTGATAGCAAAAAAACATGTATCTAAGTATTTTTTTCTTCAATATATGGCAAAAAACTCTTAAATATAGGTAATAATAATATATACGATAGTGAAGTGTACCTAATTATGTCGTTTATGAACAAATATATATGAATTTTTATTTAATGACACATAAACTCCAAAAAAAAAATGAAATCCACTTATCGAATGTAATAAATATAATTTAATAGATTTTCATCAATGAACCAATAAAACTTGAGCTCTAACAGAGTTGATCACACATATTTCGAAAAGTTAATAGACTATTACAAACAAAAAATTTGAGATAGTCCTTAATTCTTATTTGGTGATACATAAACTCCAAAAATGACTCCCACCTTTCAAAAACAATGAATATCATTTAATTGACCGTCACCAACCGATCATTTCTTTTTTCATTATGGGGGAAATTAAGAATAAACAAAGAAAAGATTAGTAGGTCCACTAGTAATCAAGCCTCCAATAGGATAATCAATGTTTTTTTTTTAAAAATAAAAATAAAAAATTCTTCATGGACCCCACAAATGAATATGACTTCACACGATTTTTTATTTATTTTTTTGTAAAAATGCAATTTATTATTACTATTAATTAATTATTTATACATATAGTCCTGTTCTGGTCAACATTTCTTGACTAATTGCATCTGCACCTTAATTAACACCATATTAATACTAACAACTAACTCTAATTTATTAAAATGAATTAATTACTTTGAAATTTTCCTAATCTAAAATATCAATCACTGACCACACCAATTCACTCTTCCTCTTCACACTAAAATTATTTATTTTATCAGAATTTTACAGAACTCTGCAAATCTTAACTACAAAACATACTTTCAAGAATGTTTTATATTTTTATAAATTTTTTTAATCTTTTTTCTTGATTAAAGGGCCTTTTGGGTATTTTTAGTTTAGTTCACTGTTCCCTTCTGACCACTTTTTTTCTGAAGACTTGTGTTGTGTTCACATTTAGAAGAGATGAAAGAGTAAAGGGGTTTTAAAAAAACCTATTCTTGATTATTATTTTTGTTGTTACCCTTCTTGGAATGGAGCCGAAGAAGGAGAGGTTTGTAAGGTATGTGATATTTTTTTAATTTTTTTTTGTGTTTTTGGTTTAGTTTCTGTGATTTGATGATTTCTTGTGTAGTAATTTGGAAAAAGATGAGATCTTTTTTGTTTTTTTTGGTGATATATTGTAGAAATTAGAACTTTGGGTGTTTAAAGATTGAATTTTTTTTGGTTCTTTATTGTTCTGGATGCTAGATATTGAGATATTTTGTGTTCATTTCTGCTTTTCCAAAATATGAATTGGAACATAAGCTGGATTGTGCAATTTTGTGTTTTGATTTCTTTTCTGGAAGATCATTTTGTTAGTTCAATGAGGTTTTGTCGACTGCGCAAAGCACGGGCAAGTTTTCATAGTTTTATCATGATCAAGGACCTACTTTGATTTGATGTATTTAAGCTGAGGGTCCTCTGGAAACAGGTAGAGGTAGAGGTAAGGTCTGTGTGCACTCTACTCTTCCCAGACCCCACTCGTGGGATTCCATTGGGTATGTTTTTGTTGTTGTGTCATAATCAAGGACTTTCTTCGTTTAGCTCATAGTTGATTTGTGCATTTTTTGGTTCTTTATTGTGCTGGATGCTAGATATTGAAATATCTTGTATTCATTTCTGCTTAACATGACTTGGAACATAAGCTGGATTGTACAATTTTGCTTAACATGACTTGGAACATAAGCTAGTTAGTTCAATGAGGGCAAAATTTTCCTAGTTTTATCATAATCAAGGACCTACTTTGATTTGATGTACTCGAGCCGAGGGCCACTGTACCCTCCTTAGACTCCACTTGTGGGATTTCACTGTGTATGTTGCTGTTGTTGCTGTTGCTGTTGTATCATAATCAAAACTTTCTTGTTTAGCTCATAGTTGATTTATGCATTTTTTAGGTTCTACTCTGGTGAAAAGCAACAAGGTGGTTTTTTGGGAGGAATAGCAGACAGTTCGAACGTAGAGAAAAAATTCTCACCTCCATTATTGAACTCTGATGGCAAATATAAAGTCACTGATACTCTTAAGTTTGGGAGGCCTAAGAAGGTGTATCCCGAGGACCATGAGTCCTGGAGGAAGCGAATACTTGATCCGGGGAGTGACCTTGTAATCCAGTGGAATAGGATTTTTATTATATCATGCTTGCTGGCACTGTTTGTTGATCCATTGTATTTCTTTTTGCCCATCATACAAGGAACTAAAGAGTCGAGTTGTGTGAAAACAGATTTGAATTTGCGAATTGTTGTCACCATTTTCCGAACTATAGCAGATTTTTTCTATCTATTACATGTGTTCATTAAGTTCCGGACTGCTTATGTTGCCCCAAATACAAGGGTATTTGGGAAGGGTGAGCTTGTAATGGATCCTGGAGAAATTGCTAGAAGATATTTAAAATCTGACTTTTTCATCGATCTGATTGCAACTCTTCCTCTACCTCAGGTATGTTGTTCTACTAGGAACATTTTATCTTATAAACATTTCACAAGCTTCTGTACTTAATTGGATTGCAATTTGATCTCTTTGTCGACTTCATTGATCTCTTTATGGTCTCAAGAAGTCTCCTAGAGCATGGTTTGGTTGTGTTTGAACTGTCGGCCAACAATTTGGATTGATTCAAACACAAGCTGATCATTCAGTATTCTATAGGCATTAATCTCATGACAAACATATCATTTTAACTGTTTTATTTGATGACATTGTTATCACAAGTAATGGTCATGAAGGTATCGCATAACTTAAGCAACATCTATCAAGTCAATTTCATATTAAGGATTTGGGGAAGCTTAAATACTTTCGAGGCATTGAGGTGATACAGTCTGATAATAGCATTGTCATCTCATAAAGGAAATATGCCTTAGATATTTTGGAAGACACAAGTATGTTGAACTACACACTTGTGGACACTCCCATGGATCCAAGTACTAAGCTTGTTCAATGATAGGGGGAGCCTCTAATGGATCAAGGTAGATATTGGGGACTTGTTAAAAAACTCAACTATCTTACGATCACCCATCCAGTTCTCCAATCACCTTGTGATAGTCACCGGGATGTAGTATTTCACGTCCTAATATATTTGAAAGGCTCTCTAGGACAAGGTTAATTGGGGCAACGGAGATGCACATGTTGGGTATTCTGATGCAAATTAGGCAGGTTGTCCCTTTGATAGACAGTCCACTTCAGGTTATTATATTTTATGTGACAATGTTTGACCAGGCATAGGTTTAAGAAAGAATGGAGGACTTTTGAAATTTGTGGTCTAAAACAAACCTTAAACATTTATGTGAAAGGGGAATTTTAAAGTTGTTTCTAATTATAGAAAGGTAACATTCTTTTTGGGATAGACAAAAAAAAGTGCCACATAAATTGGGACGAAGGGAGTACCCTAGAAAAGTAAAAAGCAAGATGTGGTGCCTAGGTCAAGTGCAGAGACAAAATATTTGACTAGGGCATTAACTACTTGTGAGCTTATAGGACTAAGACAATATCTGTTAAAGATTGGAGGAGTTAAATTGATAATGATTTTTGATAATCAACCCATACTACATATCATTTTAAATCTAGTCTTTTATGACTGAACAAAACACATTGAAGCAGATTGTCATTTCATTCAACAAAAAGATTAAGTTTGGGTGCATTGTTACGAGTTTTGTCAACTCAAAAGGCCAACTAACTGATGTTCTCATAAAAGCACTGTGAGGATCCAAAATTGACCACACTTCTGGCAAGCTAGGGTCATTAGATATGGTAAAAATCTGCTTATTCTTTGAGATGACAAAGCTCCCCACTAGATGCAAATTGCTGAATCAACACCAGGCAGTATAGGAGTGCTTTCTCTGATCGGCGTTCCCCAGACTAGAACTGAAAGGACATACCAGCCCCCGAAGGATTATCGGGCATTCCTTCATGTCGGGAGGGATGAATCAAATCAATAAGCTTTTTGATTGATTCAGGACGCAGCGAAGCCAAATTCAATCAAGGAATATATACCATGTCAATATTGAAAGATTTTCATATACCGTAAATAGGAGGTTTTGTAGGAATGATAACCTGATTTTGGACTAGTCACTAGTGATTTTGCCTCATAGTTCTAGTTTCTTGATTCTAGTTGGTATCAGGGTAAGAAGAGAAAGATAAATATAGCTTGTGTCCAAGAAACTAGATGGGTAGGTTCCAAGGCTCGGGAGGTCGACGGGTTTAAGTTGTGGTACTCGGGAGGATCTAGGGATAGAAATGGGGTGGGTATTTTAGTAGACGGGGATTTGAGGGAGCAAGTGGTGGAGGTTAGGAGGATCAATGATAGGTTGATGACGATTAAGATAGTCATTGGAGGTTGTACTTTAAGTGTTATTAGTGCTTATGCACCTCAAGTGGGCTTGGACGAGGAGGCCAAAAAGCTCTTTTATGAGGATTTGGATGAGGTAGTTAGAGGTATACCGAGCACCGAGAGAATAGTCATTGGTGGAGATTTTAATGGCCATATCGGGGCAACTTCTAGTGGCTTTGATGATGTTCATGGAGGCTTTGGTTTTGGGGAGAGAAATGGAGGTGGAACTTCGCTTCTGGATTTCGCTAAAGCCTTTGAGTTGGTGATTGTTAACTCATGCTTCCCGAAGAAGGAGAACCACTTGGTTACCTTTCGTAGCTCGATAGCTAAGACTCAGATAGATTACTTACTCCTTAGGAAGGGTGATAGAGGTCTCTGTAAGGATTGCAAGGTTATCCCAAGTGAAAATCTTACTACCCAACACAAGCTTTTGGTGATGGACCTGGAAATTAAGAGGGGTAGGAAGAAGAAGGCTGTTTTTGATCGACCGAGGATTAAATGGGGTGGCTTGACCCCTGCCCTTTCTCGGGAGATGGGCGAGAAGTTCACTGGGATGGGGGCTTGGAGTGGTAGTGAGGATGCGGACACCATAAAGCAGCTGGAATAAAGCAGCTAGTTGCATTAGGGAAGTTGCTTCAAAGGTGTTGGGGGTATCAAGGGGTAACTTTGGAGGCCATAAAGGAGATTGGTGGTGGAATGGGGAAGTCCAAGGCTTAGTGGAAACAAAGAAGGAGGCATACACAAAGTGGGTGGAGTGCGTAGATGAGGAAGAGAAGCGGACGCTTAAGGAGGTTTATAAGATGACAAAGACAGAAGCTAAGTTAGCTGTTACGAAGGCTAAGACAACAACTTTTGAACGCTTGTATGTCGAGCTGGGGGACAAAGGTGGGGATAAGAAATTGTATAGGCTCGCAAAAGCAAGAGAGAGGAAGGCTCGCGACATGGACCAAGTGAAGTGTATCAAGGATGAGGAAGGCAAAGTATTGGTGGAAGAGACCTCCATCAAACAAAGATGGCGAAGATACTTTCACAAACTTTTAAATGAAGAAGGGGACGGAGACATTGTGTTGGGTGATTTGGCGCACTCTGAAAGACTTCGGGACTTTGGGTACTGTAGGTGTTTTAGGATCAAGGAGGTTATACGTGCTATCAGTAGGATGAGCAGGGGAAGAGCGACCGGACCCGATGAGATTCCGGTGGAATTTTGGAAGAGCGCGGACAAGGCAGGTATAGAGTGGTTAACTGGGCTTTTTAATGTTATTTTTAAGACAACAAAGATGCCTGATGAATGGAGGTGGAGTACAATGGTTCCGTTGTATAAAAACAAGGGTGATATCCAAAACTGTAACAACTACAGGGGTATCAAACTGCTAAGCCATACTATGAAGATTTGGGAAAGAGTGGTGGAGATGAGGGTGAGAAGAGGGGTGTCCATTTTTGAGAACCAGTTTGGATTCATGCCGGGACGATCGACTACCGAAGCCATTCATCTTATGCGAAGAATGGTAGAAAAATATAGAGAAAGGAAGAGAGACCTACATATGGTGTTCATTGACCTTGAAAAGGCCTATGACAAAGTACCGAGGAATGTCCTCTGGAGGTGCTTGGAGGCTAAAGGTGTCCCGATGAATTATATTAGGGCGATAAAGGACATGTACGGTGGAGCCAAGACTCGGGTTAGAACGGTTGGAGGAGACTCGGAGCATTTCCCAGTTGAGATGGGGCTGCATCAGGGATCAGTCCTTAGCCCTTTTCTATTTGCTTTGGTGATGGATGAGTTGACGCGGTCTATTCAGGAGAAGGTCCCATGGTGTATGTTATTTGCGGATGACATAGTACTGATCGATGAGACACGGGACAGAGTTAATGCGAGGCTGGAGGTGTGGAGACAAACGCTGGAGTCCAAAGGGTTTAGGTTGAGTAGGACCAAAACGGAATATTTGGGGTGCAAATTCAGTGATGCGTTGGATGAGGCAGATGGGGAAGTGAGACTTGACACACAAATCATTCCTAAGAAAGAAAGTTTTAAGTATCTTGGGGCTGTAATCCAAGGAAGTGGTGACATTGACGATGATGTCACACATCGCATAGGGGCTGCTTGGATGAAATAGAGGCTTGCTTCTGGAGTCTTGTGTGATAAGAAAGTTCCACCTAAACTTAAAGGTAAGTTCTACAGAGTGGTAGTTAGACCGACCTTGTTGTATGGAGCGGAGTGTTGGCCAGTCAAGAACTCACATGTTCAAAAAATGCATGTTGCGGAGATGAGGATGTTGAGATGGATGTGTGGGCACACTAGGAGCAATAAGATTAGGAATGAGGTTATCCGGGAGAAGGTGGGAGTGGCCCCTGTGGTGGACAAGTTGAGGGAAGCGAGACTGAGATGGTTTGGGCATGTGAAGAGGCGGTGCGCAGACGCCCCAGTGAGGAGGTGCGAGGGGCTGGTGGTAGAGGGTACGCGGAGGGGTAGAGGTAGGCCTAGGAAGTATTGGGGAGAGGTGATTAGACAGGACTTGGCTCAGCTTCACATCACCGAGGACGTGACTCTAGATAGGAAGGAGTGGAGGTCGCGTATTAAGGTTGAAGGTTAGTAGGGTTAGCGTGTTGTCTTTCCTTGCGAGGGTATGGGTTGGTAGTGGCACTTGTAGTTCTTGTCTGTGATCCTATAGTCATATGTTGTTTACTGCGCTTCGCCTCTCGCAGTATTTTCTTGATGTTATTGTCTCCGTTGTTGATTATGCACTATTTTTCTTATTGGATGCTATGTTTTCTATAATGTGTCCTCTTCTCTTACTTGGTTTGGATGTACTTGAGCCGAGGGTCCACTGGAAACAGCCTCTCTACCTCCACGAGGTAGTGGTAAGGTCTGCGTACACTTTACCCTCCCCAGACCCCACTTTGTGGGATTTCACTGGGTATGTTGTTGTTGTTGTAGTTGGTATCAGGGTATTTGAAGCATATGCTGGTTAAAGGTGGTAGCTTTACATGTCAAGAAATTGATAACACGTTCTTCTAGTTTATATCTCACCTGTCCTTAAAATTTCTCTATTTTTACTGTAGTAGAGCAGGGTATGATGAAACAGTAATCTTTCTTGCAGATAGTCATCTGGTTCATTATACCAGCGACGAGAAGCCAGCATGCTAATCATAACAATAATGCTCTTGCGCTGATTGTCCTAATCCAATACATCCCCAGATTGTATCTTATATTTCCATTAAGTTCACAGATTATCAAAGCTACTGGAGTTGTCACAAAAACTGCTTGGGCAGGGGCTGCATATAATCTACTTCTCTACATGTTGGCAAGTCATGTATGTAGCTCCAACAACCTAATTTCCAAAACTTATGTGTTAAAAGTCCGGTTAATTGTGGTATTAACCTGTGACCGTCACAAAGTATTGGTTGAAAACCTCTGTATTTATACTGGAGTTTTGCTTCTCTGTGTTTCTTTTTGTTTTCTTTTCTTAGAGTTAAATATAACGACAGAGTATTTGTTTTTCTTTCTTTTTTTTCAGGTTATAGGTGCAGCATGGTATTTACTGTCAGTTGATCGATATACTTCTTGCTGGAAATCAATATGCCGAAAGGAAGACAGCTCTACGCAGTGCGTGCTTCGCTACTTGGATTGTGATACTTTTGACCTAAGTTCTCGTAAGAGTTGGGCAAATATCACCAATGTATTTGAAAGTTGTGATCCAGATGGGGATAGTACTTTTAAATATGGAATATTTGAAAGCGCAGTTAAAAAGGATGTTGTCTCCTCAAGTTTTATCGCAAAGTACTTCTATTGCTTGTGGTGGGGCTTACAACAGCTGAGGTAATATTCCTATGGGGTTGGACCAAATAATGACGTCATTTACATTTATAATGTTCTTATCTAGTGTTTTTGGCTGTAATTTATTGAAATGATAAACCAATTAGGCATTTCCAATTTTGAAAGTGCACCCCTGGGGTGTGGCCTAGTGGTCAATGAAGTGGATTGAACACCATAAGGTCTCACGTTCAAATCCCAGTAGAGACAAAACACTAGGTGATCTTTCATCTGTTCTTGCCTTGGTTGATAGAGTTACCTAGCACCTGTTGTTGGTGGGAGGTGGCAGGTAGCCCGAGGAATTAATCGAGGTGCATGCAAGCTGACCCGGACACCATGGTTATTTCAAAAAAACCTTGTTATCTGGCCTTGTGAGTGACATGCTTCTCAACACCTAACATGGTTAATATGAGTTCCAACTATCTAATTCACAACATCTTTCTCAGGGAGTTTCTAGGGGTGATGTGATTATTCTTGTCATTCCAAGAACAGTCGTAGACGTTCACTGATTATTGTGGGTACTGATCCATACATCTTTTGTTTCATTAAACAAGCTAGTACCTAGAAATGTTGATAGCGGGATATGTAGTCTATAAATCATGGTTTTGTCTGCTTTGTCTTGAAAATACATGATGGAGTCGTTGAAAAAGGTTCTTAAGGATGTAATTACATTTAGAGAGTAAATGTGCCAGTTGCCCTTCTAATCCACTTTTTAAATGTGCCATTTGAAGGAAGATCTGAACTTCAAATGTTTCTTTTTCTTGTGTTACAGTTCTTATGGGCAGAATTTGTCAACGAGTACATTTATCGGGGAGACTTCCTTTGCTATACTTATTGCAATTTTGGGTCTGGTTTTGTTCGCACATCTTATTGGGAATATGCAGGTAAATCAAAGGTTCTGCTGCTATTCATTCTCCCTCAATATGAGCTTGTTTTATTAGACCCTGTACTTCTTTCTCTTGACTGTTTATTAACAGCATGATCTTGACTAACAGGTGGACAGTTATAATTGTTGTTCTTGATTTGACATATCCTAGATTATGCTTGATTGGTGAATTTTTTGCATATGTTATTACTCTTTATAGATTTATTTGTCTGTAGAAAATGTAGAGAGCTTCTAGAGTTAAAGAAACTATTATCGTTTTACAAATGTAATGTTTGATTCATATGGGCTTACTACATGGACATTGAGGGTTCAACATAGCCGATACCAACTTGCTTGTAATCAACGTGGTTGTAATTTTATAATCCTCTTTACATGCATAAATTTTGCATGAATTTCATGGGATGCTTAAGTTTTTGAGTGCAAGTTAACAAAATCAAGGTTTACATAATAACAGTTGCTAGAGTATCGAACTGCTTGTTCGTGCACCTTATTGTTAGTATGAGATGATTTGGTCATGTTCTGTGTTGCCCTCTAGGTGCACTAGTCAATAGGCATGAAACCATGATGAATATAGGTGTTAAAAGGGATAAGTCAGAGTTAAAATCACATGGAAGGGGAAGATGTTTGAAAGACTAATTTCTTGGAATCGATGCAGACTTAGCGAAAGATAAGACACTACAGAAGAAAAAGATGTATGTAGGCATAGGTGGTAGTAATTAATCAGGGATGTATTTTGTATATAGGTGGTACTAATTAATTAGGAATATATTTTGGTCATGTTAGTACATTTATATTAAGTGCTATGATTTCTAGGAGTTCTTTTAGCCTTATTCGAGACTTTTATGCCAATAGAAAAGAACTTCTAGTATTTTTATCTTTTAAATTTTTTTGTATAATGTTGGCCTGCGATAGTATTTAAGTGGAGAAACATGATCACTAAGGATTCATACAGTCAACCTTAACTTGTTTGGGACTGTATCGTCATTTGTTTGTAGCATCATCATGAATAAAATTAGTAGTATCTAGTCATATGGTTTTACAATTTATAATTAGTGTGGGTAAGACTTTTAAATATAAACCTTTGATATGATTTTTTATGCTCTTCTTTTTAAGTTTTTAAAAATAGTCAATCAAAATTAATACATGCTGCTCTTAAGAGCATGTAATCACGCACTTTATCTGACTAAGTAAAACAAATGACACATAAGCTCGGTCAACAATCAGAGGGATTTAAAAACAAGCTTTTAACGAATTCAGGTGCTTTAATGAAACCCCAGCGAGTAGGAGGGGCGGGATGTCAACACGGAATAGTAAATGTGTCAATTAGGCTATCTGGCCTTTCAAGAATGATCTTCTCTGCAAACTTCAGTTATAAGGTGGTGGATAGAGGAGCCATGCTCAAGTCTTACAAGTTTGGTTTGCCTTGTTTGATAAAAAGAATGATGTTAATTTATTAAATGATAAATAGTGTTAAACTCTAGCGGAAACAGCCTCTTTATCTCACAAGGTAGGGGTAAGGTTTGCGTACACACTACCCTCCCCAAACTCCACTTGTGGGATTACACTGGGTAATGTTGTTGTCATGTTAATACTCTAATTGGGTGCAAACTGCAAGTTGTACATAACTTTAGGACTTTGCAATCAACTTCTTCTCTTATCATTCTTTTTGGATATTAACTCTTAATTTTTTTTCTTGCATGTAGACATACTTGCAGTCTTTGACGTTGAGGGTCGAGGAATGGAGACTCAAGAGAAGAGATACTGAAGAGTGGATGGAGCATCGTCAACTTCCAGAAGATTTGAGAAAGCGGGTTAGACGTTTTGATCAGTATAAATGGGTTGCTACTAGAGGAGTAGATGAAGAGACAATTTTACATGGCCTGCCTACTGATCTTCGTCGTGACATCCAACGCCATCTTTGCCTGGACCTTGTCCGAAGGGTATGATTTTCCTTCATCTTGACTGATTCTTTCGGAAGTGTTTGGTATATTTATCAAAAAGCATATGCTCGAAGGGTGGCCTCTAAAAAGATGCACACTTATATTGTTGGTCTTTTTTCCATTTCTTGAGTATGTTCTCAATATGCATCTCTATTACACCATCCTTTTTGGCCCTGGTATCTTGCATATGTTTACCACTTTCAGATAAACACATTTTTATATTGAGTTAATGGTAGAAAACATAGCTGAAGTTTCACGTTTTTGCGAGTCTTCTACCTGAACGATCAAGTAATCACTTTTCCTACCTAAACTTTCACCAACTATTTATCTAAACACACCTCAACTATCAGTTGTTCCCTTTTCCTACCTGAAATATCACCATCGTTCAGATTGGAAAAGGGAACAACTGGTCGTTGAAGTGTGTTTTGATAAATAGTTAGTGGTATAGTTCAGGTAGGAAAAGTGAACACCTTTCGATAGGAAACTCGCTAATATGTGATACTTCAGCTGTGTTTTTGACCATCATCTCTTTTATATTTTCTCACTTTTCGATCTGTATAGAACAGATGTTTGTTGATTCAGTTGTAAACTGTAATTATATAAACATTTGTTACAGATGCATTCTTTGTCGTTGTTGATTCCTTCTTGCATGTTAAGCTCATCTTGACTTATTTTGTTTCAACTATTTAGGTTCCATTTTTCTCCCAAATGGATGATCAATTACTTGATGCAATATGTGAACGTCTAGTCTCGTCCTTAAGCACAGAAGGCACTTATATTGTCCGTGAAGGAGATCCAGTCGCGGAAATGTTGTTTATCATCAGAGGTAGGCTCGAGAGTTCTACAACGAATGGTGGTCGGACTGGTTTCTTCAATTGCATTACATTGAGGCCTGGAGATTTTTGCGGAGAGGAGCTACTTGCTTGGGCTTTGCTTCCGAAATCAACGATCAACTTGCCTTCTTCGACCAGAACAGTCAAGGCGCTTGTTGAAGTAGAAGCATTCGCATTGAGAGCTGAAGATCTCAAGTTTGTCGCCAACCAATTTAGACGCCTTCATAGCAAGAAGCTCCAGCATACATTCCGGTTCTACTCTCACCATTGGCGCACATGGGCAGCCTGTTTCATTCAGGCTGCATGGAGACGACACAAGCGGAGAACAATGGCAAAAGATCTTGCAGCACTGGAATCATTTTCTCTGGATGAGAGTACGGTCGATGAAGCAGAGCAAAATGAGGAGCATGATCAAGGTAACGCTAGCTCAAATCCGTCTCCAAGAATATCACACCTCGGAGTCACAATATTGGCTTCAAGATTTGCTGCTAACACAAGAAGAGGAGCTCAAAAGCTTAAAGATGTAAGATTGCCTAAGTTACAGAAACCTGAAGAGCCTGACTTTTCAGCTGAGCCTGATGACTAGATTCCGACTGATCGTTTCATTGAGATATCGATACGATGACCAACTCTGAGATTGAAGGTTTCTGCGATACATTCTTACACTTGGGATCATCGTTGTACATGTGGAACGCGCGTTTCTAAAAGATAATAGTGTTGCAAGAGAGGGAGCTTTTGGCAAGGGAATGTGGTTTTTCATTTTCCTTTTTTGGTTAATGTAATTGTATTTAAGATTAGTGTTTTCAGTAGCAGGATGCTAATATGTACTTATATAAATTCAATAACATCTCAAGTCATTTGTAAAAACTTATAGTTGTTAGTTCCATAGCACAAGTAAATAAGTATTTTTATCAAAATTTTACAATGCTTCATGTCCTTTTTTTTCCCTCTATCTTGCTTTAAGGTACTTGGAATCTGATTGTGGTGATGCTTATAAATTTGTATCTACCAAGGGTCTATCGGAATTAACCTCTCTACCTTTGAGGTAGGGATAACGGGATAAGGTCCGTGTACTCTCTATCCTCCCCGACCTTACTTTGAGAATGCTGTTATAAATTTGTTTCCAATTATTTATGCTACGAGGTTATTTGGTTCACATGCTAGTTATGTGAGGTTTATGATGCAAAGATTTTTTATGCGATGAATAATAATGTACGAATGTTATATAGTGAATAATAATACACAGGCCTTACCTACTTTAAGGGTAAAATAGAAAAATATTATAGATTTTCGTATAACTTAAACATGTATATTACTGATGCTTCCAAGTGAATGTTCACTTAGTAAGCAATTTGTTCTTTGTGAACGAAGGAACTCTTGGTATAGGTTCTTTCTCCTTCTAAGGGTAAAGTCCATACGTACACATTACCCTCTCTAGACTCCACCTATGGAATTACACCAGATATGTTGTTAAGTTTCACATTTTCTTTCTTACCTACAAATCTGTCTGGAGCCAACCTTTTGTGTCAATTGTAGCCTTTGAAACTCGAGGATGATGAGCTCACACATCAAGAGTTCGTTCACTTGGCGCATGACACAAACCTGTGACTTAAGACACAAGTCCCTTAACCTTTGGTCAAGGCTATAAGTTTCACATTTCCCCTCAATCTACTACTTAACAGAAGTCCAGAGATCTTGGTTTTCTTGTCTTTGAATTCAGATCATTGAGACACTCCAGAAAATTGAATAAAAACAAATAACACAAAAAAGAAGGCAGTTGTGTGCCTGCATTTACACAGATCTAAGAAACATGTACATCTAAGTTAGTAATACAGAGAAACTAGAATAAATTGATTATGAAAAGTAGGTGGGGCGGGGGAGTCGAAAGTAGAGTCTCTCACGTCCAGATCAAGTTTGTGTCGTGGCGTTTATGTTCTCTTTATGTAATACAATCTCATTTCTCCAGCTTTAACCAGAAGTCTTGTTTCAATATTTATTATCCATGTCGTAAAACTCTATATTCTTGTACTTTTGGGATATGATCTCCGCTTGCACTTTCCTTGCAGTGTCTGTAGCACAACCAACAAGAATAAGCACTGACGTGCCTGCAAAGCCTCGGAAAGCAGTGAGGTGTGTGGCTTGTTCAATCACAGCAGGGCCAGCAGCGAGAAGTGCCAAAAATGCAGAACCAAGAACTGATATCCGGCTGAGTACCTGTAAATCCCCCATTTATGGCATGAATCTTGACAATTACATCTTTGAACCTTAATAATATTACCACGTGCAACTATTTATACGGTATAGATGCGGTACATCAATTACCGATTCTAGAGAGTCAAGTATACAGAAAAGGGACACTATCCTTGCTAGAAAAGAAACAGTGAAGTGAAATTGCACTACCAAAGGTTGTGGTGGGATGGATAGTATCCTTCGACCCTTAACCAAAGATCTCAGATTTGAGCCTTGAGAATGGAGAACTTCTGGTAGGGAGCTTCCCCCTTTAATAGGCCTTATGCGACACAAATTCAGAATAATCGGGTCAACGATTTCAAACACCAGATCCACCTTACTTAAAACAGATGAGGATCCCAATATGGTGGCTAATCTAACAATTAAAGGTAACATATACAGGCTATTGGCGTTCCCTGACAAAGTCACCAGGGGATATGACACTATAACTATGGGGGTCAATCGTTTTTTTCTTTGACGACAATTTTTCCATCTTATTATCTTGAATTATTCTAATTTTAAGTCGAGGATCTATCAGAAACAACCTTCTGTGTACCCTCTACCCTCCCCAAACCCCACTTGTGGGATTACATTGGGTATTTTGTTGTATTATCATGAATTATTAACCATTGTGACTTCTATTACTTTTATGTAGTTTCGCATGTACGTATATTTTCTTCCAAAAGTTTGATAAATCTATGTCCGAATTCCCACCGAAAATTAGGTGATTTGACCCTTGCTCTCCGAACTTATTCACATAGAATGGGACAGAGAGAGTACGTCTTTTATATAAATATCTAAATATATTTATACCTTTCTGATATCTCCTTCAAAAGATTCAAACACCGAAAATGCCCATTCTCACTTAAGAAAGAGCGCCGGTCCTGCTAGATTAATACTAGAACGATTTATAGTTTCTTAGTGCAGTAACAACTGAGCTTACCAAAGCTGTGGGACAATTTCCCATTAGATGTATCAGGTCATTTCGATGTTATGAAAATGATGGGTGAAGAGCTATATTTGAGAATCAAGATAGGCATTAAGCATAAAGTGAACACGACTGGAGAAGGCAATAATACCGTTTTGATGAATGCCGCTGTGCTTTTACCCGGTCGAACAAGTGGGATTGAGGCACCTTGTCGTTTCAACTGATCACTGACATCATCAGGGTCCAATTGCAGGAATGTATAATAGTAATTGAAGAAGGCAATCAACAAAATGTTTGTCGGCAGATAGAAAGAACCTACAAACGAACAGCTGTTTAGTTGTAGCCCTCAAAATGTTACAAAGTGAAAAAATTAAGTCCACACATGCATGTGCCGAAAGAAATGCACTATCAATAATAATAAGCTAATTCTCATTGTTTTTGCTTATTTCCTTTTGTTGAAAATACAAAAACCAGTTTTTATCTTTTTCCTTTTATTTCCAAAATGACAGTCGCTGACTCACCGATAATCTCCCCTCGGGGAGAAGATTTAGACCACAGTCCCATGTAAAATCAAATATTCCTCTGTAGTGCAAGGCTTTAATAAGAATACCACCTAGTCCACCTTAGACAAGTCACATTTCCATTTCTGCCTCTAGTTGCTCTATCTTTTACGTATTACCACTAACCCAAAAGTATTGCACAGCAGGTTTTACAAGACTAAACCTCTTCGCTTAGAGATAGTCGGCAATTTATTTCAAATTTTTTGTACATCAGGAAAGGAGATGCATATGCATCATAACTTCAGACAGAGTCGAGTTTAATGCACAAAACTTTTTCAGTGAAAAGTGAACGTGAAGTAAGGTAACAGCACTATTTTTTACTTACCTCCAGGGTTTAAACCTGCTGCAGCCTTTCTCAGGAAACCTACACCAGTGAAACGTGCCAAAGTGCCAGGAAGGGCTAGTGATGATGTAGAGAAAATAATCGGCATTACTCCTGAACTGTTCACCTGTTCATTGTAACTATAACCGTAAGTTGTAACTAAGAAGGATCATAATTTTCTAATTGCAAAAGAACTTCACTGCACACTTCCATCACAAATATAAGGATTAGCAGGACCGATGTGTCTCCTTGTCTAATTCACTTGAGCTACCAAACAATCCACAAAAAGTACTGGAGATTACCATATAATGACACTGATAAAAGCATGTGCATGGAAACAAAAATGACTATGGCCTAAGTTGCTCGGACTCGGGTGCAGGTGTCCAATACGGATACGGATCTAGAGTTTTAAGATTCGGGGGTATAGATCCAAGTGCCGAGACGGGTGCGGGGATTTGGCTAAATTTAATTCAAATATCTAAGAATAGAGTTATATGTCTAAATTTTGACACATTATATGGAAAACTAACAAGGTATTCCGAGGAGAAAATATTGATCAAGAGGAGAATCCTAGAAGTAGATATAAAGAAAAGGATTGACAGAGAAATTTCTATATACAAAGTATTCCATTTTCTTCAATTTCACCTTAACTTTTGTTTTAACAACAAAAAATCATTGTATCTGTCCCAATTTCTCTGTCGATTTTGGTCAAAGTATCCAAAATTGGTTGCCAGATCCAGTAAGGATCCCATACCCACAACCACACCCAGACCAACATCGTGTTGATACGGGTGTGGCACCGAAAGTGAGAAGTTCGAGCAACTTAGACTACAGATGTAGAGTTGGGGTTTCTAGGATGTTCGGAAGATAAATTGTAGTTCTGAACTTATGACGCAATTGTCGCACTCACTTCTCCCACACATGCTTGCATGTGAAATGACTTATCTGATGACTAACCACAACGGAAGCAAGAGGAAATTTCAAACCAGTACTAAGTAACTTCTTCCACGGGGAAACAATTTCAACCCTCACTCCTCTCATAAAATAAGAGTTGACGCCTCACGTTTATTTAGCATTACAATCCTTCAAAATAAACTAAATCAAACGAGGGAACAAAAGACTACTAACTTTAAACGGTAAGTATGCAGATTTTTGAAGTCCTCCTCCTGTTCTGCCAGTATACCTTGATGCATAATTTAGCGGAATTTTCCTCTCTGCTTCCTGAGAAACTTGGTTGAGAACGCTGTCAGCAATCAACGGTATGACAATAAGTTAAATGCCAAGTAATTCAGACATAAGAACATACCTGAACATATACAATGCTAAGGACTAGCAGGAAGAATGAGACTAGGATGCCAACGAGCCCAACATAATTACCATCTTGATAGGCCTGTGCGACTGTCCTACCAAAGGACGCTGGCAAGTAGGAGATGATATTTGTAAAGATCAAAAGAGATGTACCATTTCCAAGTTTTAAATCAGTGATTCGCTCCCCAATATAAGTCGTAAATACTGAGCCAAGGGTCAAAAGAACAACGGAAGAAATTGCCCACTGGGTACTGAAGTCATTAACATAAGGACGAAGGAACAATACTTGGCCAATTGCCTGCCACAAAAGTTAAAGATAAGTGTAATTTTCCAATTGATTCTGCAATTATTCGACCACAACGTACAAGTGAGAATCAGATTAAAAACAGACTACAGACACTGTTTTGTTCACAGAAATATCTTATTCAAAAGGTATAATACATAAACAGATACTCAAACTTGGCCTTAGCTGGCAAGTAAGCACTCCAACTTTGAGTATGCACATCAAGACACCTCAAATCGTCACCATTGTGTCAGTTGAACACTCCAACTAACAAAATGATCATCTAGACAACTCCAAAACATATGTGCCATGTCAGCGTCAAGTGTCCACAAGACATAGAGGGGACAAGTTGGAGTGTCAAGTTGTCAGTTGCGACCAAGTTGAGGTGTCTAGATGTGCACTCTCGGAGAGCTTACTTGCCAGTTGAGTTCAAGTTTGAGTGTTTGTTTGTGTATTATGCCTAATCAAAAATGCTTCTTCATTCAAGTAATAACAGTTTTTCTAGGAAATATTACCTGTACTACGGCAAATCCAACAGAAGCATAGCGAGTATACTGGAGAACTTTCTTTCTTCCAGCTTCACCTTCTCTTTTCTGAAGTTCTTGCAACTTGGGGTAGATTTGAGCAAGCAGTTGAAACACAATTTGTGCATTGATGAAGGGAACAATACCTAGAGAGCAGATTCCAAGGCGACCTATACCTCCACCGGAAAAGGAATCCAAAGTACTTAAAATACTATTCTCATCTAAATTGCCAGCAAAGGCCTCCCGATTTACTCCACCGAGTGGTATGTAGATCCCGAGTCGTGACAAAGCCAAAAATCCTAATAGCTTTAGAAACTTTCCTGGTAACGGGCCTTTGAAGAAGTCTCCAAAATCAATGCTAGTATCTTCAATTGCAGCTGACAGTGACAAGAAATCCTAATCAAAGGTTAAGATATGCAGGGTGTTATCAACAACATAAAAGCACAGTATTGCAGATTAGTTAGACTACCTGCCAACCCTCTAGCTGATGAATTTTTCTCTTTTCTAGTGTTTGAGGAGCTTTCAAATGTCTGAGAGAGCAAGCTCACTAAATTATCCCAGGATGATTTACCTGAATTGATACCCAATGGATCAAATACTGAACTATCACAGCTGGAGAAAGAGGGTAACAGTCAGAAAGGAGAAAAAACTAAAGATTTAGGAAATTGGTGCAGAAACAATTAAATCAATGAAATGGATCGACAGAAGATAGACGTGCAAAAGATCAAGGAGAAAGTGTATGTGAAACAGCACATAGCAGTTTAAGATTTCATGCACAAATCCAACTGCTCCACAACCTCAAAATCATAAGAAGTATGTGTATGATCAGCACACAAAAACAGAGAAATACAAGTTGATATTCAACCATTACAAATTTGATGTCCCGAATAAGCATATCCTTCTATAGTACAAGTTTGCGATTTTTTCTTTCTAGTGAGCAAGTGTCTCAACTCTCAAACTGAATAGTTTTTAAAATAAAGGCCAAAGTTCAAAAGAAGAAAAAAAAGAAATTTGAGTAACTTAAATCTTCCCATGTCCAGTGTTGTTAAAAGATGCACTTAAGCCCTAAAGAGAGGCTCAAAATGTGTTGAGCGCTCCCCCCTTCTTAATGTGCGCTTCAATATTGTCATCAAGGCTCTAAGACAAATTTTTCCTTGCCAATGAGCCTCTTCTGAAGAGGCGGCACCAAACAATTAATATTTCACTTTATCGTAATCTTTTTTCAATTTCTTTGTTCATATATTTGTCATTCATGCTTATAATTATTAGTCTTGGACTAAATGCTTATAATTATTAGTCTCGGACTAAACATATATATATTTGCGTTTTTTCTCCCTTTGAGCCTTTTTGCATTAAAGCCCACACTTTATTTGCGTTTTGCACTTAAAACTCCAATGGACCTTAGAGCTTTTTTGCGTTTCACAATACTGCCCATAAGTCACACCATCTCTAGGTCTATACTTTCTCTAGATTCCCCTCCCATAAGCTCCTTTATCTAGTTTCAAAATAAGGTCCCTTTAGACCAACTCTTAAAATTCCTCTATGTTCTCAAATAAAAGACTGTAATATACTCAGTAAGTCATAAATTGCGTTTCACACTTAAAGCCCCAATGGACCCTTAAAGCTTTCAATTCAGCAATAGGACCATCGTAAAATTCGTCCAAAACAAACCAGCATTCAGATTCAGTAATTCTTTTCAGGGAAAACACTCAACATGAAAGTAAATAATACAATCCCAGAAAAGAAAAAGCAACACAAAAGTCTTAAATTCCACGAAATTAGAAGCTCTCTATACAATATTTTTTCACAATAAACACAAGACTTGCTTGAGAAATCAATGAATTGAAGTTAGAAGTTTTAAACAAAACCCATTACAACAAACAGCGAGAAAGTTCAAATCTTTATCTACACAACACATTTTTATCAAATTGAGCACAAACCAAGGCATCTAAGAGCATTGAGACCAAAAGGGGTACATTCCATTTTCAACAAAGTATCTGTTTGTTGAGTGAAGAAGACCAATATGAACGTTCAAGACTTGTTTCAGAATATATTAAACAAAATTAGAAGTATTAAACAAGACCCATTACATCAAATGGTGAGAAAGTTCAAGTTTTTCCTTTTTTCTAATAACTGTGGTGTATAGGCCAGCTTGTGGCACACCTCAACTAATTCCACGGGATACTTCCCACCTCCCACCAACAACAGATACGAGGCAACTCTGTCCATCAAGGCTAGAACAAATGAGATTATCTCTTCTGGAAGTTGAACCTGACACCTCATGGTGCTCAACCCACTAGGCCACACCCTTCGGTGCATAAAGTTCAAGTCTTTATCTTCTTCACAACACATATTCATCAAATTAAGCAAAACCCAAGTCAAGTAAGAGCAAATAGATCAAAAGGGTACATTTTATTTTCAAGAAAGTACCTATCTTTGGAGTAAAGAAGACCAGATTAAACAAAAGCCAATACAACAAACAGAGTAAGAAAATTCAAGTCTTTATATCACATCATATTTTTATCAAATTGAGCAAAAACTGAACAAAGTGACCAAACTGGTACATTTTATTTTCAAGAAAGTCCCAAAAACCATTACAACAAGCAGAATAAGAAAGTTCAAGTCTTTTATATTCACATCATATATTTTTATCAAATTGAGTAAAATCTGAACAAAGAGACCAAAAGGGTACATTTTATTTTCAAGACAGCACCTACCTTGGAGCAAATATAACCAGGATTAAACAAAAAACATTACAACAAACAGAGCAAAAAGCTCAAGTCTTTATATTCACAGCATATAGTTTTATCAAATTGAGCAAAAAACTGAACAAAAGGGTACATTTTATTATCAAGAAATTACCTGTTTGTGGATTCAAAAAGACCAAGATTCCATGATGGGGCAGTGGATTTTTTATGGAAACTGAGGCTGCTGGCTTTACAAATTGGGGTGACTCTATTAACCTTTAAAGAGTGTAGCTGCTTGGAATTGAAGCACAGAGAAGAAGAAGAAGAAATTCCTCTGACTGTTATCAACATTATCCTCTCACACAGACACACACTATCTTTGAATTTATGAATTATTATTCTTGAACTAGAAATAATATATACTCTAGCTCTTCTTTTTTTTTTTAATCTGATCCACTGGGTCCTTTTGGTTTAGAAATATTGGCTTTTAGGTTTCCTTAGTTTGAGAAAGTTTTTTTTTTTTTTCCTATTATTGATAATCAAATCAAGAATTTTATTAAGGTAAAAAATGCATAATTTGAAACTCAATGGATAATGAATTTATCCTTTTTTTTAGCTTTTCATTTAAAATAAAAAATAATTAAATTTAAATTTATAGCAAACGCTTAATTCATATATTATGTAATGAGTTCATATTTATAGACCAAAAACCTGAGTCAGTTATTCAAATTCATAATGACGTTATTCGAAAATCAGTGAATATTTTTTCTTGAATGTATTTTCAATTCAAATATAAATAAATTTAATTTTAAATATTTTTAATCAAACGTCAATGTAGAAGATAGATAATACATATATCACAATAGAATTAAGAGCAATTTAGATAAAATTTAACAAAGTGATATGAAAAATAAAATTTTCTTGAATTTATATATATATTACATCTTTTATTTTGAATACTAACATCCATTATTTATAATTTAGACTCTTTATAAAAGTCTTAGGGGTCGTTTGGTTTGAATATGAGTTGTGATGGGATAAGTTATGTTGGGATAAGTTATGTTGGGATTAGTTATGATGGATAAGTTGTCTTGGGATTATTTCTTATTGAGTGTTTGGTTTGTTATATTCAAAATAATATATATTGATAAATTTTAAGAACAAGTTGTTTGTTTACAAAATTACCCTTCACTTTATTTAAACTTTTTAATTTTTTCTTTGTGAGCTTTAGTTATTCATTTTTTAAAATAAAACTTTTATTTTTTTTTAACTTAAATATTTTTGTTTATGTATTCCCATGATAAGTACCATGTGTATTTAAAAATATAACTTTTTTCTTATTTAGCTTAAAAATAGAACTTTCCTCTTAAGTTTATTAAAGAGAAGAAAATTTATGAGATATCAAAATAAAATAAACATAAGAATTAGTCAAATAAATTCATAAATAAAAATTATATTTATATAGTATAATTTTTTAATAGAAAAATATGTATAATTATCATAAAAATAAGGAGTAGTAAATATTATTATACATGGTATTAAAAAAATGTAAATATACATAAATGTAAAAAATGATACATAAAAAGGATTTAAAGGGACATAGTTGTCATTTACCTATTCTATCTCGGGATAAGTTATCCCGGGATTACTATACCACCCATGGGGAGGGATAACTTATCCCGGTACTAATTATTAATCCCGGGATAAGTTATCCCGGACTTGCCAACCAAACAACATAATTTTTTATTTATCCCATCACTATTTCCTTATCCCATCACTATTATTTCTAATCCCTCACACCAAACGAGCCCTTACTTAAATATTTATACAGTCTGTAACAATTTCCCTTCCTATCATAATTAATTAATAGGAAAAACAAAATAAAGTAAAAGAAAAAAAAGTTTTTTAAGACTGTAAAAAGGGTTAACTTCCAACAAAATAAAATAAGAACTTCACCCAAACAACACCACCCATCCGCTCTAAAAAAAAAACACTTCACCAAAAGCTAAAACCCTACTTCTCTTGTAGTCCTACCAGTTCAAAAAAATAAAAATAAATGGAACTGGGAACTTCTTTCAGTGCTTCAGGTGTCAACAAGAAGATGTTTTTATCGAACCCCATTACCCAAAAATCCAATGTTCTTCCAAATTCTTGGCTAAATCAATTGAATTTTTCGTTTCCAGCAAGAAAAATCTGTTCTTGCAGAGGAATAGCTAAAGGGTCTACTATCAGCTCTTTGAAAACTCAAGAAAAGGTTAGATTTTTCTTAATGGGGTTTTTTTTATATGAGATGAAGTTTCAATTTGTGGTGCTTTCTTTGGAAAATTCTTCCTTTTTATTTGTTTGGTTTTTATGCTGGAGACTGTTTTTTTTTTGTGTTTGTGAATTAGTTTTATGTATTTAAATGATGTGAGCTAACACCAATAGTATACTCCGTGTTGGAATGTTATCACACAAGTGGGGTCTGAAGAGGGTATGATGTATGCACACCTTACCTCTACCTTTAGGGAAGAGGGAATGCTGTTTGAATCTTAAAGAATCCAGATAACAGCAGAATTGTTAGCGGTTTACGAGTTCATAGGGAAATAATGTTTTCGAAGCTGCTTGCTTACTAGCTCCGAGACTACTTAGTTTAATAGAAGAAATAGTTTTTGGGAGCATTCTTGTATGCATATTTTCAGATGACAGGTTGCTGATTAACCTTCAATGTGTTGTGTTGTTTGTGTCTTTTTTAACTATCTTTTGATAGAAAGAATCTTCCCATTATGTGATTATGTGAGAGACAGGGAAGTTGCACATGGAAAATGGCTTTTTAGCTCTCGCATTTACTCATTTTTCCTAATTTTAAAAGCACTAGTTTGATTGGCATGGAGTTTAAGCGTAAGATACGTGCATCTAAGGGTGTAGTTTATTGGTCAATGAAGTAGGTGCAAACCTTGGAGATCAGGATTCAAATCCTAAAGAGTTAAAGACACCCCTTTTAGTTGTATGTTTTTGTCCCGCCTTACTTTAGTGGACTGTCTAACTTTAGTTCCTTGCAAACACATCTGCTAATGAGAACTGATCTTTATAACATCAGCAACTGCACATCAATACCAATCAAGTTGCAGGCTGCTATATGGATCTTCATTGTACATGGTGTTCCATTTAAGCTTATCTATCTATTTTAAGGATTCAACATAACTTGACTAGTTTTATTCTGAATGTCAAGTTACCACAACCTTTCTCCTTTATCACGGCTACCATCTAGGTCAATTTGCTATATGATATATGCATATTACAGTAAAGGTGCAATCTTGATGATAAACAGTTGGGTTTTCATTCTCCTTCTTTTAGGATTCTCTCCTCCTTTGCCACTGCTGGCACGATTCTTGTCAGCTTGTTGGGATGAGACAAAATTGTTTAATAGAATTCAAAAAACCACCTTTCACAACAATCATCACAGTTCAAAGCAGTAAAACAACAGGGGAAAAAGTACACAACTTCAACCCAAAATCACCAGAGTCCTCCTTCAACAGCAATGCAAGACTATTTATTTTTTAAGAGAAAAAACATACACCATAAAATAACGTATTTAGAGATCATTTCCACTAAATTTCACTCTCTCCTTTCTCTCTTCTTTGTTGTCGCTAGATATATAATTCCATGGTTTGAATATTGGTCATGTATATTTACATCTACTTCTATCCGAACCTAGGCCTTGCAGAATCTCTGCAATTTATTGAACAGACTGTCCAATAAAGTGTCTATTCTTGTTACCCACTAAAACAAAGAAAAAAAGAGATGTTAGTTCACTGTTTTGTATTCCTAAGTTGACTAGGAAGGAATTGCATAGTTCTGGATGCCTTTGTGGGACAACATTTGATTTACCATCTTGCAGCAAATGCTCTATGGGAATTGATAATGTAAGAGATGTATCATTTGCTGGGTTAAGATGCCATGATGGAAAGACTCATTATGTTATGGAATTTTTCTTACAATTCATATCTGTGTGTGGAGTTCATTGGTACTCAGCTCATCTTATTATTATTATTATTTGTGGAACGATGTCTCTTCTTTTTTTTTTTATAGGAATTAACACTTGAATATGTATTGTTATGGTATCTTCTTAAACTTCTTAGGTCACAGGGATGTCTTCTAATCATTGTATCTTCTTAAACTTCTCAGGTCACAGGGATGTCTTCTAATCATTCTCAAGATCTAGAACTCTCAAGTTTAACAGCTTTATGCCCATTGGATGGTCGCTATTGGGGTAAAGTCAAAGAATTGGCTCCGTTTATGAGCGAGTATGGATTAATTCGAGTCCGCATTTTGGTTGAGGTGGTTACTTTTTCCTCCTTGACTATCTAGTAGTAAAGTTTAATTTTGAAATATTCCTTTGAGAAATTTTCAAATAAAATTAGATTACCCGTGTGGATAAACATTAAGCAACAATGAAATTTTTCTGATGTCTCTTTTTGTCAGATTAAGTGGTTGATAAAAATGTCTCAAATACCTCAAATTGTTGAAGTTCCAAGCTTCTCTGAAGAAGCTCAGACATTTTTGCATGACTTGATTGATGGATTTAGTATGAATGATGCCTTGGAAGTTAAGAAGATCGAGAGAGTCACAAACCATGATGTGAAAGCAGTGGAATACTTCTTGAAACAAAAATGCCAATCACATCCAGAGATATCTAAGGTATGAATAGATTCTTGTCATACTATTCTTCGGGGTGGCTCAGAAGGTTTGGCTTGGGACTTCCATTAGGGAGGTCTCAAGTTCGAAACTCTTTGACTCCGACAGTAGTTGGCCTTCTGGGTTGAGCTCGTCGCACGGGGCTTGCCTAGTGTGGTTTACCTCTCTTGTGTGGTTTGTGAGCTATTGTGTAGTTGTGCGCACCCAATGGCTAGCGGCGTTCCTTGTCATAAAAATAAAAATAATTCCTGTCATACTTTCCACGTGCATCTTCTTTCAATCTACATAGGAAATTCAAGCTAAAAGTATTTCTATGAGACCTGAAAACCCCCGAAAGCTTTATTTTGCACATGCATCTTTTCTATAGTTGTCCCTCTTTTTGTGGTAGGTGCTCGAGTTTTTTCACTTTGCATGTACATCTGAGGACATCAACAATCTTGCCCATGCATTGATGCTGAAAGGAGCTTTGAACACGGTCATCTTGCCAGTCATGGATGAATTGATTAAAGCAATTTGTGACATGGCCACAACACATTCTTCTGTTCCTATGCTTTCTCGCACCCATGGGCAGGTATACTTCTTTTCCCGACAGTCCTCTAGTTAGGTGTACTTTGAATAGGTTTTGATACAAGAAGCTTAACGTCCGTGGAAAACAGTGGTCTTATATATATCCTCAGTGACTGCATAATGTAGTTCGC